TTTCTTTGTCAACTCTTTATCATTGGCAAATTTTTGATCGTGTTGTTTAAAGAGAGAGAGAATTTTGGTCAAGTATTCTATGATGAGGTATTTTACCGTTTATTACAAAATGATTTGTTTATATTTTTTTGAGTAAAATTTTAGTATTTTAACAGACCAAAGATAATTCTATCAATGTAAACCTTTCATTACCATGGTTCAATGATTATGTGAAAAATATTTTCTATCCAAGGTAACATCACTGGTCTTTTTTATCACAACATGGCGCATGTATATAACTTTTTGTAAAGTTAAAGTCATTTTCTTTAATCTTTTCAGACAAACACTAGACCACTCCAAAGTTTTATCATATTTAAGGAAGATCTATAATCCTCATAAATGTAGGAATGATTTTAATCAAGTCAAGAAAAACAATTAAATTCCCTTAATTTCCCTAAAATTTACAGTTTGCTAACAATACGTTTTGATATGTTTTCTTCAACAATTTTATAGATTTTAAATTTTCAACTCATACTTTATCTGTGTTGATGGTTTGTTCTATTATTTTATATGGCGTAAGTTTTCATTTCTTATGTTTCTTCTAGCTTGCTACTATAGTTTTTGATGTTTATATGGTTGAGGAATGATGAATGATTGTTGTAAAAAATTGAGTTAAATGTTATTGAAAATATTTTGCGAAATTCGATACTCCTTTTTATTGTCGCTGCAACTGCAAGCGTACGATGTAGAAAAACGGATTTAAATCATATACTAGGGTTATGTTCTGCAAGAATTAAAAGAAAAGAAAGACTGTTTTTATGACATTAACATTATAACATTAGTTCTTAATTTCAAGGTAACTCCCGTGTACGCTATGCGTACCTATGTTTTCTTTTGAAAGCAAATCTTTTAATCGTTTTTTAGACAACAATTCCTTTTATTATAATTGTTGCTCAATACTTTAACGTTCGTGGGAAAATTTCATCTTGGGAAGACGTTATTCGTGGCAATTCTGGCATTCGTGGTTGGTTCTGTTTATAAGTACAATGAATTCATTTTATTATTTTCTTACCATATCTTTTTTATCAAACGTTGAATTTTTTTAGATTCCTTAATCGCAGCGTTGATTCTCACGTTTTTATTTTGTGCGCTCTCCCTTCTTCGTTTTATGGAGAACCAT